CAGGGACATTCAGCCACACCCAGAAATGTCCGCTGCCCTATGCCTGTGGGCATCGTGGACTCCAGCACAGGCTCACAGCACTGAGCCCGCCCTAAGCAGAGACAGTCACTTCACAGGAGCCCAACCGCCCCGAATGTCATGAAGGTTACTCCAAAGCCACAAAACCAGAGATAATATCCCAGTCCTCCCTGATACACCATAAAACCGGTCTCTTCCTTTGCGAATGAGTCAATCTGACCCTTCTTTCAGGCCCTATGTCCCCCTCAGTTTCTCAAGGCTCTTTTCCTATCATCCCTTATTTTCGTTTATTAGGGAACTGGCTTGATCTTGACTGTGTTCCCTTTCATTTTCTCTTACTTGTATTAAATTTTTCTTGTAAACGCATGCGGGGTGGCTCAGTTTTCATTTCCACAATCACTGAAACAAGGAACTGCACTGGCCAGTGACCCCATGCAATGTGACCTCAGAGATCACCAAGGTGTACCCGCCGGCTGATCCCTCTTTCCACAGAAATAAATGTGCACGGCCAGTGAGACACCAACTCCAAACACTGTTAATTAGAACAATTTCTCGCCAGAAGCAAACCACCAGAAGCATAACGCTGGAGCCAGTGGGATTGTCTTCAGAACTATGGAAATTACACAATTTAGCACTCTGGCAGTTCTAGCCCTAATTAAATACTTATAAATTAAACAGAAAGGCTACGTACTCTCTGGAGATCCCTCATTATAAAATATAACTGGTAACTCTCCACACGAACAGGCAATTATACTTCTATAAAATTAAATCTTCACTTCTTTACTTATAGCCCCTTCCTTTTCTATATTGAGAGAAACCTGCAAGAGCTGCACAGCTTTAATTTCTTGGGAGTCTACTTTATAGTAGAGAAAACGCTTTACTAATTTTGTTTAATAAGCAAAAAAATTGTATTTAATAGATTTTTAATACAACTGTAACCATAAATACCAGGGTAGTCCTTTGTTTCTTTCTTGATTTTTAGCCCACATACTAATGATATCAAAGGTACAATTTACAAATGTACGTATGGCTTGGAAATCAAGAACCCTGTAACTCCCAAGAATAAAATATAGCTTGAAAAAAACAGAGTAAACTGAGAACAAAGGGTCTACATTTCAGTTTTAGTACTCTGCACTAGCTAGCTCTACTAACTTTGAAGAAGTCACTTGACTTCTCAAATGGTTCACCTGTAAAATTTATTTTAATCAGTAAGTACCCAAGGCCTACAAAGTATGAGATTCGCTGACAGCAGCACTGAGCAGGACAGATACGCTCTGCATCACACCGGAAGAAGAGAAGCAGCAATCCTAACAAAGTACGGCAGGTGACACCGCAGGAAGAGAGAAGACACCAAAGCTGCAAATCTGGCTGCACAGCTCTAAGTAGCACTTGGGATGCCTCCTCAGACCCGCCTGTCACTGCTGCCCTGAACATTCTTTCAAAGGCCTTCAGCCTTGTGTCCCCACCCCTACCCTCTCCAGCCAGCAGGCTGTCTCTTCTGAAACACTTGTGAGCTCTCTTCAGGCAACGGCCACATTACAATCCAAAGACACCTTTGCCTGTGGAAACCTGGTAACGTGCACGAGGCTCCAATGCCGTATCACTGCTCTCAGCTGGCGCACCCGGGCCCACAGGGTGTGGCCCTGCATGGCCCCTCCCTACATCTGCAGTCTCTCCTCTCTCCATGTCGCGCTGGTCTCGAAGCCCTTCTCTGCCCAGGGCCTTTGATTATGTTAACTCTGCTTCCTTATCAGTAAGAACTCCTCTAACCCCTTCATACGTGGTTCAGATGGCATCTTCAAGTAGAATTCCCTTTACTAAATCCTAGCCATCAGTAAAGAATGCCACTGCAGTGGGCATCTTGGGCTCTGCAGAACAGAGGTGTCACAGAACCCACGGGAGCAGCAGACCTACCCTCGCAGGATCATAAACTGTGTATTAAGGAAGAACAAAAGCCCTGTGGAGAGAACGCTACCCAAACAGCTGTTAAACATGAAACACTCTGTACAGAAGAACTGAGAACCTAGCTTGTGCTTTCTCTGTATCCCCAGGATCTTAACACATAGGTCAGAACAGCAACTTCCTGACTATATCTGAACCAAAATAAATGTCTACATACTATTTTTTAAAACAAACTGAGCTGTTATTAGATTTGGAAAAACATGCTCTTCACAACCAAGTTTTATGCAACTAAAGGTGATATGCTGTAAGCTGAATATTGTCCTGACTGCTAAAATTTGGAGAAATTTTCTTACACTAATGATATAATTTTTATTTATTTGAGGCCCTCTCCCTATAATGTTGATGATGAATACTTGTATATAACAGATTGTCATTCATGTTTCAATGTTTGACAGCCCTTAAAAATATAACTTAGGAATTGATAGTCATTTGCTTTCAACTGCTAAACAGAAACAAAAAAGCTCCCCTGTTCACACTGAATATACCAAAATTGCATCAAATGTCTACAATGTTTTGCTTTTAGATTTTAAGTGAAAATTTTCTATGGAGCACTAATCAGCCAAATTGTCTGATTTTTTTCATCTCAACAGACAGTAGCATCCTGTAATCCTACTTATTCAGTACCAAGAATCAAACTCAGGACCCTGTGCTTGCCAGGCGGGTGCTGTGCCACTGAGCTGCATCCCCAGCTCACCCTGTGATTCTAAAAGCCTAGCCATGAGTTGGGAGCTGACAGACTGTGACACCGGAGAGGACGGTGAGCACATTCCCTGTTGCTGCACTGAGATGCCAGAGATGCCCCTGCACAAGCTGTATCAGAAACAATGACAGCAGTGCGCACACCTGACCCTCAGGAGCTGTCTCTACACAAATGGACTCAATGATCCTCGGAAAAATGGCTGATTCAGGGTTGGGGCATGGAAAATCTAGGATAAGCCTAGAGCAGTGACGGTGAACCTTTCAGAGCTCTCAATGATACAGCAGCCTGCTGGGGCAAGAGTGCCACAGCTTCGCCACCACTGATTTAGAACATATTGTGATTCCAAAAGGGAAAAAAATGCTAAAAAAAAAAAAATGTTGGGAGCTTGACAAAAGAACACAGGAGCCAACATGAAGGAGCCCTCCTGGCCAAAGACAGAAGAACATTCTGAGCAGTAAAATGAGTAATGACAGGATTCCATTTTAATTTGAACAGTAAAGACCTGTGAGTCCAGCTGATATTAAAAACAGAGGATGAGGGAAAGATCTTCTTTAGAATTTCACTTAATAAGTGTAGAAGCGGAAAACAAAAATTACACTGGGCAACCAATACTGAAACATTTGCAGGCAAGATCCACCAGCGGGAGGAAAAGTTAGAGGGGAAATACGAGGCAAAACAGGTGCACAGAATGTTCTCTCTCTAGATGGAGAAGACAGTATCCTTACAGTGGAAAACCCAGCAGATAACGGCGGCACCCGACCACCAGGACCAGGATGAGTCGCGACTTACTAATGTGCTGCACCGAGAACACAAGGTCCTTTCTGTGGTGTCAGCTGTCACAGAAATCAGCCAAACCCGCACTGAGAACACTGTACAAACAACTAATCCACAGTCATCAAAAGTGTCAGAGTCATAAGGAAAAGAAAACAACCTAAGGAACAGGTTGGAGGACACAGATCCTGGAACAGAAAACAGGACATGAAACAAAAACTGTTGAATTCAAATAAAGTTGGTTGCTCAATTTACACTACTGTCCCAAAGCTAACTTCCTCTTTGGGATTACAGAATTTTACTATGGTCACAAAAGACACTAAGATACAGAAGTAGGTGAGTTGGACACAAAAAGTCTTGGTGCTACTTTTGCAACTTCTAAGTCTAAAATTAAGCTCAAAATGAAGTTTTAAAAAGACAACTACATTAAAATGTAAATTAAAGTAAGAGCTTTACTGCATATTCCATTGTGAACACAAAGCAGCAGCGGCCGTCTGCTCCTCCTGTCTGGGCACAGCCTCAGAGGCAGGAGACAAGTGACCAGAGTGGCGCAGAGGGAGGGAGGGCGGGGCACACGACCTGCTGGGAGAGAGGAGCAGGTGATACCAGCGTCTCGGGTGCCAGGTGCCGTTTCGGATAACAGGGGAGAAACTCACATCCTGCTCCCAGGTGCCACACAGGTAATTCTCAAGTGCAGGAAGGAACTATGAGCTGAGAGACAGAGCACTGGGGAACAGGAGGGAGGGACAAACCACATTCGTTTGCCAAGAAGACTCCTTGGTGCTTTTGTGTAGGTGATGGGAAATGGCTGGACACCTTCACAATGTATTAACTGAGTCTAACAATTTGAACATTGTTCAGTCTTCCTCTCAAAAATTTTACATTAATAAATCAATCTCATCTATAAAAAGTCAGTTATTTTTCACCTTAAGCAGATTTTTCAAGCCTCATGACTTCATATTCTTATTTTATAGGATTTCTGGAGAAAAAGATTTTTTACTTGTACTTTTTTTCCCCCCGGCTCTGAGAAAAAAAAGTTGAGCCCAAGGCCGCCACACCACGCCCTATAAATACCCTCTAAACTCCGAGACAAAGGACTGTGAAGTTGCTCAGGCTGCCTCAACCTCGCAATCCTCCGGCCTCAGCCCTCTGTAGTCTGGGTTACAGGTGTGCACTCTGCCTCTCACTTTAACACTGTCTCAGCACGGAGGGACTGCGGTGAATACTCACACAGGCGAGTGCAATCCACAGACTCTCGGCAGGACAAGCGGGGAGAAGGGAAAGCATGGGGCACTGAACAATGGAGAGGGCTGCTGCTTCTGTGCAATAATGGTGCCCGGCTGCCAACCGAGTCTTTCAATCTTTCACCTCGGTGAACTCTAATTACCCTGCCCATAAAGTGATAAAATATCACTTAACTCAAGGTATTATCAAAATGACACCAGCTAATTATACACGAAGTGCTCAGCCCAGGGCATACTGGGCTTAGTTCTTAGTTCCTTCTGGCCCGCTCTTTTCCACTGTGCGGCGCTGTTCCCTGAAAACATACCGATTGAAGTTAATGTCAGGGTAACTGGAATACTCTGACTTCATCTTAGCGTTCCGCCGGGGAAACGTGCAGAAGAACGCATTAGCCAGGAGACTGGCAATCTGCTCCTGTGACATTGTGATGGAATGATTCATCTTCTGCTTCAGGAGTGGTATTGGCTGGTGGAGGAAACAAAAACACAGACAAGAGCAATAATTAGTTTAGCAATTTTGAAAGCAGAGGCCCCAAACTGCATTTGCCAAATAAATGCAGGAATAATTCTGAGCCACTCTTGAATCCTTAAATCAGCAATACTGTTAAAAGTCAAGAGCTGCTTATCAGGGATGATTGGAAAAAGGTACTTGTTTGACAGACTACAGATTTCTAATCAATAACACAAAACATTACTCATTAGTGAAAAATGAGATTGCTTTAGCAAGTAAGTAGAAACACATTACCTATGTAATGACAAATTAAAACAAAGACAAAAGAAAAGTACAATACTGAAGCAAGGTATTGTGCTGATGTTAATTAAATTCTGCCTTTAAATACTAGAAATTGTAGGCTGAGCAATTTTTCTTATCCCTAAGTAAAATGATCTAACGACAATAATTCAATAAATAAGATTTTTCTTCCTTATTATGAATCACACTGTACATGGGCAATTTATGAGACTCAAATCTACTTTTATTAAAGCAATTTAGTAGAACACGTGAAAATCATCACACTGACCTATAGGTAACTTGTAACAGGCAGGCATTTCCTACAAAATTAAACATCCAAGTTAAGGAAGATGCTGGACATCTTTATGTCTAAATTGTTTTCTACCTCGAACAAACTCAAATTCAGTGAAATTTCATCAGTATGATGTATTGGACTTGAGTATTATTTTTGGTGGGTTTTATTCTACTTTGAACGTTGAAACTATGTTTTTAAGGCCATGCTGATAAAACCAAAGACAAACTGCCAGTATACCCAGTAGATGTTAAGTTTCAAAGTGTTCCCCATAATATTTAGAGATGTTTTTCTTTCAGAAAAAAACCAGAGGGAAGAATGTCAAGTTATCTGTGCAAATCTCAAACCAGTTCCAGGCTAAAGTATCCTGATCATTCTTCAGAAATCAACACATGAATTAAGCTTAAGGACAAGCTGGCAAGAGGAACTCAAAACCACAAATTTTCTAAATAACAGGGAACACACATCATTGCTGGAATGTTTACCAGAACGAAGAAAAGCTTAATCATGCAACGCAACTATTTCTCTTGGAAAAATTCACAAGTAAACAAAAAAGCAAAAGGTAAAGAATATACTTTCACTATGGTCTCCAAAATCCTTCCTTCTTTCAGGCATTGCCAATCACCATTTCTAATTCTAAGAAACAAAGAACTTATATTGATCTTCATTTTCCATCCTAAACATTTATTCACTACCCAGCAATGAGTTTGGACAAAGCGACAGAGTTTTCATGGCTAAAAGCAAATTATTATTTGGTTTTAATAAAAAATGAATTTCTGACTATCATTTATCAAGTTAGCCAGAAAAGTGATTTTAAAAATTCATGCTGAATATTTTAGGTTTAATGGACCTGAAACAAACATTTCTCATACCCAAATAAATAGAGTGTAATTTTTAAAAGAACACAGGACTTCTGCTCTCTTGGTGAAGAGAGATGCATAAAAGCAGGAACTTAGGGAAAGAGAAGAGACAGATCTTACTGCCAGTCAGCTGGACAAAATAAGAGGCTGGTTACAATTAACCAAGATATTTCAAAGCACTCTTCCAAAGTATCTTTTTTTTGGCTTTCTTTTTAAAAATCCAAAATTTACCTTTTAGATTTGTCCTAGAATATTCTAATGTGGTAAATCATTAAATATCACTATATACAGTTTAACTTGCCAAAAACATATTTTGATCTCAAGTCATACCTTAATTCTCCTAAAGAGACTGGCTTTCAGCAGAGCTTATAACTGATGAAAGAACAAGCTTATGCTACGCCAAGGTAAAACGTGGTGGGCCAGGAATCTGACTTAGTTCTACTAAGCAACTTATGATAGCTTACTGATTTACCAGTTTTTAATAAGTACCTCATCAAATAAAATAAGGAAACTTCCTCTCTGAACAGGAGAGAATGAGAGGATTGAGCGAGCCTGTCAAAAGGCTAGATATCGTTGATCATGAATTACACACTACATTAAAAAAGCAATTAACTAAGCACCACCCAAAATCTAGAGACACAGAGATCTCCCTTCAAGGGGAACATAATCTAGTGCGAGGAGATGTGCAGAGATATAAATTAAAATCGCGTGGGAAGTATGACAGTGTGGATAAAGCCTCCCTGGGGAAAGCTGCACGACTTCACAAGGGAAGCAGTAAAGGCAGAACCAGACAGCTGCAAGACGTTTTACTTGGTAATGAAAGGAGAGAAGGAAAAAGAATGAGTATGTAATATAAGCTATTTATTAAGTAACTCGGATCAGAAAGAGGCGTTTGTAAATACATTTTCTGTCTAACAGTAAGATTTATTTTAGACACAATGCAGTACAGAGGTGAAATTAAAGTTAAAAGGCTTTGGAAGAATCACAGTACAAAGCTCACCAGATGCAGCACACTGCTCTGGGTGACAGGGCCCCACACAGGCCTCTGACAGGCCTCTGACGTGTGGGGGTTTCTGGCTGCCACGCTGACTGTGCTTGTGGTTCGGGAGGTGTGCAATGAGTGTGGCCATCCTACAACTTGGGATCCATCCTACAACTGCTACATCCTCAAACCCAAGAACCCCTGGGGGCAACACTGTTAGCAGAATCCTAGTCAGCATCCACACAGCAAGGGGGGGCCCTAAAATAACAAGACAAAGGCAAATACAAGCACAGGAAGAAACCACGAAGCACAAAAACACCTCATCAGGAGGCAGAAAGTAGGCCCACAGATTGTCTGGCACTTCTCCCTTTAAAGATTGGAGTCTAACTCCCTCCTGCTTGGGTCTGAGCTACCATTAGGGCTTCTGATGAACAGAAAAACAGCCCGACACTGGAAGGCTCAAGAAACCCAGTCAAGAAAGGCACTGCAGCTTCCCCTGCTCTCTGTGGGGAGCAGCTACTGTGGGGGCCTCTAAGCCCGCTACGCCTTCAGAGAAGCCTGGCCCTCACCTCCAGCCTGACTGCAACCACACCTTCCTCAGCTAAGCTGGTCCCAAATCCAGGGCCGACAACTGGGACATGATACATGCTGACTGCTTTAAGACACTAAATTTTGTTCTGCAGCAATGTGTAATTCATGCATTCTACACTCAATGAAGTGATATCACATCTTTTATTCTTAGGAAAGTATTATATTTTTTATGATAATATATCTCTTTGGAGGACTAAGAAAGAAGCATGGAGCAGGAAGCCCTTTGGAAAATACATCACGATTCCACTAACATGGTTGAAATGACTACTGTTTTTCAAGATACAGATTGTTTCAATGAGGAGACAGAAGTCTGAGTAAGCAAACTTCAGTGTCAGCGGAAGCTCCGAAATTGAATGATGCATTTTTAATGTCCTTTTGTAGCATCCTTTCTTGCCTTTAACCTTTTCTTTAAAATAGAAAAATTACCATATTCTTTGGCAAATCTGCTTCCCAGCTCTCTGAGCCAAAGTGCATCAAGGGTGTCACCTCACTAACCTGGGTGCAAACACTCGGCAGGCAGAGCGCGGCCTTCACCATGTCGGGCAGAATGGACTGATACAGATGCTGGGCTTCCGCCTCCTCCAGTACCTGGAAATCAACAGATATGCTATGTGAGTAATAATAAACTATGTCTGCTATGAAATTAAAGTGTGAATCCATTTTTCACAGAGTCCCATTATAATGCTCACGATCATTACCACTAAACACATGCAAAAACAAATCAACAGGTGAGCCATGCTCCGACCCATTCATTTGTAAACATACTTAACCCACCATAATGCCCTCTGAAAACAAATTACATAACCGAGCCTAGCATCTCCCACCCCAGGTGCACCATCGAATACAACACTCATTTTACAATTAAAGAAATCACCAGAAAAGCTATGCTACTGCTTCAGAGCATTCTGTATGTACCAAATTTAATTTGTTGGGCAGGAAGCAGCAAGACTTCTTAACACACCTTAGAAATTCTGCCTTTCTAGGCACCCCTGGCCAGCTAAAACCGTAATTCCTATAATCATAATTAGAAGCACAACAAAGATGACATTCATGATTCATTTTTGTCTTTTGTAAATTCTAAACTCTATTACCTAGTGAACGCAAGACTATCATTAATTCTGGGGAAAATAAAAAGTTGCATAAGGCAGGAAAAGCAATCATAGCCCAGATGAATGGGGTTTGCACCACCCTCTTGACAAAAAAGAATATGATAAAGCTAACATGAACAAGACAACTAAAACGAGGCAGAACTAAGGTGATGTCAGGGAGCAATTGGGAATCACAGCTCAAGTGGAAATGGGAAGCCAGCTTGTCAAGTCTCTGTACTTTGGATAGAAACCAAAACTAAGTTTAGAAAAGTAATTTATAGAAGGCATTCTATTTTAGACATACAAAATAAAGACACTGCTTCCATATCTGAAAATGCACAGAAGTTACTAATGCAATTGTTTAAAATACTTCAACGCTTCCTGCTGAGAATTTATCTTTGGCTTTTAAATACTTTTTATTTGGAAAATGGTACAGATGGGTCCAGTGCATGTTTCACCCCGTTTCCCCCGTGATGGTTCTGTGTGTATATTTGAGTAACCCCCGAAACCCAGACCCTACAGAACTATTCCATTTCGGTAAAGGTCTCAAACTATCCATTTAGAGTCACACGTCCCCCTCCTCCTCCTTCCGCCCCTAGCCTTTAGCAATCGCCAATCTCTTCCATCTCTGCAGTTGTCACGTCACACAAATGCACTCACGTGGCTTCTTTCCAGCTGACATGTGCAGAGTAACGCCCCTGAGAGTCACGTGAGGTGTTGAAAGTGCCAACAGCCCGTCCCTTCTCGTCCCGAGTAGCACTCCATGATGTGTATACACCAGTTTGTTAGTTACTGCCCTGCTGAGCAGCATCTTGGTTTCTAGGTTTCAGTATTACACAATGCTATGGTTGGGGCATGTCCCCCAAGTGTCCACATGCTGGAGGACATGGCAGTGAAGGGAGGACTGCAGTCTTTTAAGAGGTGGAGCCTGAGAGGAGGTGCGTAAAGTGCTCCCTTGGTGGGGATTAATACAGTTCTTGTGGCGCTAAGGAGTTCTTGGGAGAGGTTGTTATGAAAAGCAGAACTCGGCTGTCCCTAGTCAGTTTGCTTTACTGATCTGTCCCTCTCTTTCTACTCCCATTATGATGCCATCTGCACATGACACAGCCAAAGGGTCCCTCATCGGAACTAAGCCAGTGCCAGCCCTTAAACCTCTAGAACTGTGAGCCAGATCAACCACTGTTTTGTATGTTGCCTCAGGATTTCATTATACTAACAGAAAACAGACTAATATACAAATAGTTACCTTTAATTTTCTACTCGCCTATACTGTTGTTTGAAGCAACTTCTAAATAACAAAGCGTGCCATTCGTAAAATCTACTCTCTTTTAACAACTGAATGTAGACCATTTATGTTTAATGTAACCACTGATAGGCTATGACTTCAGCCTGACATTTCTGGATTACTTGACGATACTGAATTTTGTAAAGTATTTTTGACAGCATATTTTTAATGGTGATTCTAGGCACTATATTAGTAACTTATCATCATCTATTGACATCAGCATTTCTTCTGTTCCTTAAACTGCAGACTACCTCCCGTGAAGTCTTTTTACCTTCCCTCATTTACAGTGCCATCAACATTTCCTCTAGCCACGTTAGGACAGTGTTTTATAATTCTTAAGGATGAAAAACGTTCTAACAATATTAATGTTCAGAAAGGGGAAAACGTCTGCTAGGTTTGCTCTTTCCATAGTTCTTTCTTCCTGACAGTTTGAGATTCCTACTTTTCCCATTTCTTTTCTGTTTCAAGAAATTTCTTCAAATATTTTTTATTTCCATCATGTTTTATTTTTCCTTCTATCCTATGGGTTACTTGAAGATAGTGAATTTGACCTGTATTTACTGATTGTGTATTCTGAGTGAACTGAATACACATGCTCACCTCCAATACAGAATTCTGTGTTGATAATTCTTTTCTTCCAATTCTTCAAAAATGTTGTGCTACTTCCTTCTTGCCTTTCCCTGTTATCACTGGGTTGCTTCCCTTGTGTTGCTTCAAGACCTTTTCATTTGCCTAAAATGGACTACAGTGTTATTTGAGGGATTTTTTTTTTGAAACCAGTTGGGGTTCATTCAGTTTTCTTCAACCTGCAAGTTTTGTGTTTTGTCAAATTTTAGCAGTTTTCAGTACCCTTTCATTAAATGCTTTTTTCTTCCTTTTCTCCTCTTTTTGTAGTCTAATGTTTCATGGGTCAATAAACTTTTTAAAAAAGTCTATATTCTTGCATAGATCAACTAATTTTTTCTAATACTTTTCAAATTCATTGAGTCTTTCCTCTGTCACATTCATTCTCTATCAACCTATGCTTTAAAAAAAAAATCCAGGGAATGTAAATGTCAACCCTAAAATGTCCTTTTGGGTCATTTATCGCCCAGCCTTTCTGTTCTTTCATCTGTTTCAAGCATGTCTGGAGCTGCTCGCTGGAGTCTTTCTGCGATGGCTGCTCTCCAAGGCTTGCTACATGACTAACATCTGTTATTATCTTGGTGCTCGTGTTTGTTGGTCTTTTCTCATTTCAGCTGAAATTTTCCTGGTACGTGGTGATGAATGTTTTTGACTAGTACTTCTGAATTGGAAATTTTGGATTTATGAGACTTCGGAGCCCATTTAAATCTTTTACATAAGCAAGCTGTTGTGACAGTAGGTGAAGGGGACAGCTGCCCACTTGGACTTCTTTGCCCATGTAGGCAAGGGAAGAGGTGTCTAATAGAAGCGCTCCACAGAAAGGCTTTCCTCCTATCATCCTAGTTCAGGTCTTTCCCAGGGTCTCTCACTCTCTACAGAACTGCTTCTCTTCACCTTTCAAAGTCTTCTCATGTTTACTTTATATGCTGTGTCTCGTTTTGGCTGACTGGAGGAGGGTTAGGCAAAATAGCTATTCAATCAACCTGAAGAAAAGACACCTAGCCTTTTAATGTGTTTAGTACTATTATACTTTCCTTTGTAAATTCCTTTAAAATTCCTGCTCATTTAAAAAATACAGCTGGCCGTCTTTTGATATTTGAACTGTAATTCTTCATAAACAGTGGACAAGTGCTTTGCCAGATAAACATTTTGCTAGTATTTTCTGTCTCTGGCTTACCTATTCATTTTTTTTAGTGTTCTTTGATGACAACTACTTATGACTTCTTTCTTTTATGGTTAATGTTTTCCACATCTGAAGAACGCTTACCTCATTCCTAAGCCACAAACAAGTTTTTTCTTAGAAGTTTTATAGTTAAAAAAAAGAAGTTAACTTTTACATTTAGAATTATTTTCTGTGTTCAGTGTGTATGAACATTCAACTTTTCCAGCCCCAATTGTGGAAAAGAAATTTCTTCCTCCCTTGGGCTTCTTTGGCACATTTGTTGAAATTAAATGACTGGATAAACAAGGGTCTCTCTCTGGGTTTCCTATTTAGTCCACTGATCAATTTCACTCTTAATTTCTAATGCTGTCAGAAGTGCCATACAAACTGGGAGGCTTGAGACAATGAACCTATTCCATCCAGTTGGGGAGACTAGAAGTCTGAAATCAATGCTTCCTCTGGCAACTCTAGGTAAGAATTGTTCTTTGCCTCTTTCTTGCCGCTGGTGGCTTCTGGAAATTCCCAGGGTTCCTTGGCTTTAACGCATCCCTTCGGTTTCTTCCCAGGTATCAGATATGCCTCTTCCTCATGTCTGTCTGTGAGTCCTCCTATCTGCTTAAAAAGACACCAGCCATTACATGGAGGGCCTATCCCAACCCAGCAGGATCTTACCTTAACTACTGAAGCTATACAGACTGGACTTCCAAGAAAAGCTATGTCCTGATACCCAAGGGGTCAGTTTTAGAGGCATACTATTTAACTCCCTAAATATACTGTCTTGTTTACTATAGTTTTATCATAGTTTTCAGAGCAGTGAATTTATCTGCCAACTGTGAACTTCTGGTTGAAGATTTTTTGGTATGTTTTCTGTCTTTTACGTTTTTAAATAAATTTTAGAAACCACTATGCACTGTCTACAAAAAGCGTGCCTGATGTTATGGCAGGAACTTCACACAGGGAGAACATATATTTAACCACATCGAGTCACCAAGTACGTGTGTGTGTGTGTGTGTGTGTGTGTGTGTGTACGCACATTTGAGTTTTCTTCAATTTCTCTTGGCAATATTTTATAGTCTCCAAGGTATGGGTTTTGGACATTTTTAAAATTAAATTTATTTCTAAGTTTTCTATATTTCTTACTATTGCTCTCATGGAATTTTAAAAATTTAGTATTTGCTGCCAGTTTATAAAATATAATGATTTCTAGCCTTACTATATTCTACTAAATAAATATCCTTATTAGTTCTATTGAGTTTTCCATGTTCCTTTGGTTTTTCTATATAAACAAACAAGTCAACTGCAAGCAGAAACAATTTTCAAAGACCTTCCTTTCTAATTTTCAAACATTTTGTTTCTTTTTCTTACCTTATGGCCTTGGCTAGAATTTCCAGTATCAGGAAGATACAAGAGAGTAAAGAGAAGGATGTCT